ACGGTCTGAGTAGTGATTGCTACATAAAAGCAATAAGAAAGCAATACAGAGAAGAAGGATATTGATGTAAAAGAGCGTGCATTTGTAGTTCTAAGTCCTCCCAACAACAATGCATAAGTCATGAAATCTCATATCCTCCGACCCCTAAGTAGGAAGTCATTGGTATTCGTTAGTGTGATGGTGGCGTTTCTTCTTTAAGCACCATCACACTAACGAATACCACCATCTAAAGAGGAAAATACAATTTCTTATTTGTTGAACTATAGACTTCAACCACAAGAGGGGGTGAATTGTGTGATTTGGAAAAACATGATTTTGAAATTTTTTGCCAAGTTAAATTAAAGTTTAAAAACATTTTTTTAAGGTTTAAGCAGCAGAAATTAAATAGAAGAAAATAAATAGTTAAAGAAAGAAGAAGAACACAAAGAATAATAGAGGTTCTTCAAATAAAAATGACTTACTCATCTCCCAATCTTTGGTGTTTATGTGATAAATCCTTAAATCCTCATATTATTTTCTTGTATGATCAATTAGTCTCTTTTAGCCTAAATCTTGGACATCTTATTGTTCGATGATGTGTGATTTACGTTTCCACATGTCACTCTAAAAGAAAATCTCTTTGGTCAGACCTGGATTTGATTCAAAACTCTCATCATCTTCCTTGGTGTTCCTTGGGGGACTTTAACTCTATCCTGGGAGCTCATGAGCATCGAGGTAGAATTTCTCCCTCAAGGTCTTCCCTCTTAGATTTTGGTAATTGGGTTGATAACAACTCCTTGGTTGATCTTGATACCTCCGGCACATTTTTTATCTGGGGTGATGGCAGATCTGATTCTAATCTTATTGAGAGGAGATTTGACCATGTGTTTTACAACCAATTTGGACCTCAGTTTGTCTCTATTGGAACGTGAACACCCCTCTAAGGTATTAAAGATTTGACCAGAGGCCCTAGTATACTGATCAAAGAGAGAAAAAAGAGTAGTGATGTTAGACTTTTTACCTTTGCAGAAGATAAGGATATCATGGACATAGAGAATGTGAGAGGGAAAAGGCATATTCCGAGATCCCATCATAGGTTTCAAACTACCATTAATCACTGAGTTAGAAATACCTCTACTCAACACTTCCTTAGCTAAGCAGAAAAGAAGCAGAGAAAACGAATCCCCTTGCCTAACACTCCTTAAACATTTAAAATAACTGTGGAGGGAACCATTGACCATCACAGACATGGAAGCTGAATTAAGAATGGAAGTTAAAAGTTCCTATAGAAACTTCATTTGGAGTGGCAATGTTAATCAAAGAAAAATGGTCACGGTTTTGTGGAAAAAGGTTTGTCAACCTAAAGCTTTGGGTGGCTTAGGAATTAGATCTCTCACTTGTCTCAATGAGGCCTCAAATATGAAATTATACTGATATTTTTTAAACTATAATGAATATTGGGCAGCAATTCTTCGTCAAAGGTCCTTAGACATTCTAAGAAAATTTCTCATCATATCGCCTTAACTATTTGGAGTGGGATCAAAGTTGAATACAACACTATGATGGGATCTTCTTGCTGGTCGTTGGGGGATGGTAATAGGATTAATATTTGGAAAGACGCTTGGTACGGAGATCCATTGGTGAATGAGCTCAATTCTCTCAATCATAATATTTTGAGTTTGAATTTTAATAGCAAAGTTTCTGATTTTTGGGTGGACAATAGTTAGTCCTTCCCAACTGCTTGATGGGGTCTTTTCCTTTTTCTAGAGACAAGAACTAAAGAAAATTTTTCTCCTGTCGATTATCTTGATGAATTATCTTGGAAACATGCGAGTAATGGTACTCTATCTCTAAAACATGCTTATAAATACAAGCATCATGCCCCTCCTGCTTTCCTGTGGGCATCTTTCATCTGGCATAACACCATTCCTCCTTCTTATTCTGTTATGATTTAGAGGATGTTAAACTCCAAACTTCCTACTGATGACCAATTGCAACTTAGAGGAAATCAAATGGTCTCCATGTGCTCCCTTTGTAAAGTTGGTCGGGAATTCATTGACCATTTGTTCTTCCATTGTGATTTTGCTGTCAAATTATGGAATTGGTTAGGAAATTTGATTCGAATTGACATACACAAAGTTGCCAACTCTTTTTTTGGATTCATGTTTGAAGGTCGGCTCTCCATAAGGTATTTTTGTGATTCAAGCTTTTTGTATCTTTCTTATTAATGCCATTTAGGCCACTAGGAATTCCGCTAGGTTCAACAACCATTTTGTGTTTTTTCAGTTCATCTATAATAAGATTTTGACTCAGATTCAGTTATCTGTTTCTAAGTTGAAGCTGACTTACAAGCACGGCTGATTTGATTTTTATCTTCTTCAAACTCTTAAAGTGCCTATCCCTCCGGTTAGAGCTCTTGTGATCAAAGAAATTATTTGAAATCCTCCTCCGTTAAATTGGATTAAGTGTAATATTGACAGTGTTTACTCTACTAGCTCCGATTCAGCAGGTTGGGAGGGTATTTCAGAGCAAACTCAGGTTTGTTTTTACTTACTTTTGCTGAACCGCTTTCTTGGAACAATATTTTTTAGTCAAATTCTGTGGTGTTCTTCCGAGCACTGAGATTGCTAGAGACCGAGGTTGGAAATTTTTTTGGGTTGAATCTGACTCTAAGTAGTTAAAGCTTTTTATTCTCCTTACTTAAACTTGATTCCTTGAAAACTTATAGGTAGATGGTTCTCTTGTCTTAAGGTTATCATGGACATGTCCTTTATCATATCGCATATTTACAGAGAAAGCAATAGTTGTGTCGACTTTTTTGCTAATATAGACCACATATCTACTGTCTTCACTTTTTTTGGACTCTATAATGATTGACATTAGGAGTAAAAAATAGGTTTAGTTTTTTATTTATTTTTAATTTCGATACTTTTGAGTGAATTTCGGCCTAGTCTCTACCTTTTTTTTGTGTATTAATTTTTTTTCCTTCTATATATTAACCTTCATTAAAAATGAGAATAATGATAATAAAATATTTAAATTAGATTAAAAATTTATATACAAAATAAATATTAACTAACTTGAAAAAAATAAAATGATGCTTAGTCGCTCTACACAAATATGCAAACAAAATAAAAATATATCCCGGTCCAAACCTATTTTATCCTGGTACAAAAATATATATTCATAGTATAAAATAATTTTAAACTGACAATCAATCATAACTATTTTAAATGTTAAATCATACTATTATTTTTAAATAAATTATATGATATAGTTAAATGATAATTTTTTATTAAATAAATATATAAAATTATTTTATACAGTTAATACACTATTTTTTTTAAATTTATATGTATAATTTCTGTGTCAATGAATTAAGAATTAGCTAATTCAGTAAATAAATAAGTGAGTTGACTCAGTTGTGGTTTTGTTTTTCCTTTTCTTTAACCTTGAGTTCGCGCGTGGGGAAAGTGACGTATGAATTATGTACAAGGATACTTGAGTGGTTTCCTTACAGCCACGTCTATTTTTGTGTGACTAGAACATAACAACCACATATTTTTACAAGTTAATTTGTTGTTCTTTTTTCTTTATTTGAAATATTATTCTATAAATGGATTATTTGTGGCTCCTACTTCTGTCGTCTCAGTTTCTCTTAAAACAAACACGCGTTTTATGAAATAGTATCCTATTTCTTATTTTCTTTCCCTATTCGGGTAACTTTGCCCCACCATAATTTTTAATTGTTTTTTTGCTTTACTTTTTGTCCACGTGTACACAACACTTTTAACGTTAAGAACACTTTCCTTTTCCACTTTTATAACTCTAAAATTTCCATTTTTTCCTTCCAACGTTACCACTGTACCAGAATTCTCCTTCCACAGTCGTCTTCTTCTCCTTCAAAGGTTACTCTCTCATTCCTTTATTTTTGTTCATATCATCCTTCAAAACAATAATCCCTAATTTTTGTTTAAAACATTTATAATGAATATTTTCTTTGATTTGTACATTCATACTCTGATTCTAAATTTTTGTGTCCATACAAGGGCAATACCAGGTTTTGCGGCTATAACGGTGTTTCTCGGTTATAATGACGTGTTTTTCTGATTTTTTTCATCAGAATACAAATAGGGGTGGAAATAACCCGATCGTCTATGGTCTACTCTTCATAGGTGTAGATCAATCCATTTTTTTTTAAATAGAAAAGACTTATGCTTTTTTTATAAATCTATTTAATTAAAAAAATTAGGATATATGACATGAAAAAAAAATCTTTTAAATCTATTATACCGACTTATTTAAATAAATATAAATAAATTTATTATTATTATTATTATATTGTATTTGTACTTAGAATTAAAATATAAAAATAAATCTTAATTATCTTTACTAAAATTGACTATTAATAATAAAATTACTTTCTATTATCTAACAAAATCTAAATCTTTGTAGCCGTTAATTTTTCTAGAGCTCTTAGTATCTATATTTTCCTCTCCGATGTATTTGGATTGAGTATTCCTAGTACTCAATATTTGTTCCCATTGTAAATTGTGTAGAACATGTTATTATTAGTTATGAAAGTTACTATATACAATATCTATCCATTAAATTCACATTTTATATTCATTTTTATGTAAAGCAGGTGAAGTTCAACATCTAATTAGCTTAATGTCAAAACACTTAACTCCCTTTGACATTTCCTACTATTATAATTACAAACAAAGAAATCATTAACAATATGATCCCTTAAGATAGTGGAATAAAGAACTGTCATATTGCAATATCTAAAAAGGCACGTGATGCACTTGGTTAGTTACTTTCACAGAAAAGCTACCCAAAAAAATGATATCTTTCTCAATTTCAATCTATGTATATATATTATTAAACAAAGGTTTATACAAGAAATTTTTCATTCTACAATCCAAAAAAACGTTACAGTACAAACAAATTTCCATTCTAAAATCCAAAAAAAAAAAGCAAACTTGATATAAAAGTAAATAAAAAAGAAAGCAAACAAATCAAAGAGAAAAACTCCATAGTGAGACCTCAACATCTTCAAAGTCTGTATTAATATCTTGATACTCAAACTCATGGCCGAGGCTGTGTGTAGGGGACAGCAGCGCCATATTTCTCAAGGACTCTGGAATGTTTAACACTTCCTTCTCTTCTTCTTCTTCCATACGAAACATAAGCTGCTCCTCTGTGGCAGCGGATGTGGTTACAGAAGTGTCAATATCATCGGTAGTTAAAGCCTTGTCTGGTCTGAAAATCTTGTCTGGTCTGAAAGCCTCGGCAGCTAGTGCAGCCGCCTTTTGTATACCTTTTGTCTGGGTGCTGGCGGGAACAGGAAGTAGCCACGCCGAGTCTGCAAAGTTGAGACAGGCGTTGCGACCTCTCAGTGCTAATGCCGCGACGTCATGGGCTCGGGCAGCCATCTCGGCAGTGGGAAAAGTCCCTAACCAAATTTTAGTCTTCTTGTTGGGCTCTCTCATTTCACAAACCCACTTATCTAAGTTCCTCCTCCTCACACCTCTGAACACTGGGTGGCGAGTCTCCTTGAACTTCTTCCTCCCTGCACGTTTCTTCGGTGTACTCGCCGCTAATCGCACCTCCTCGTTGAAAACTGGCATCTCAGGAGAGATTTCTAAATTTGGTAATGATATGTTGGAAGAAGTGGAAGGGTTGTTAGTTGGAAACATAATTGTGTGTTGGAGAGAGTATAAAAAGGTTCTGAAAGTGAAACTGAGGGTTGAAGATAAAGTTGTTGGTGTAAAGAGTATGAAGAGTAAGTTGTTGTATATATAGGGAACCATGGTCGAAGGAAAGAGGTAACAGTGTGAAATTGTTTGTGAGTGTGTGATGTTCTGTGTGAGTGTGGGAAAGAGGTAACCGTGAGAGTGTTTTGTGTGAGTGAAGATATTTTGTAAGTAATGAGACAGCTGGTATGGTTTGCCTAGTTGGAAGATTTGTGATTTGTTATATATTTGGAAAAGAGAAAGGGGAAGTGATGAGAAGAGTGCCATAAAGACCCCACACCAAGACCAAAAGGAGTAACAAAGTTATACTTTTAGTATCTTCTATGACACTAAATCATGTTTTTTTCTCTTTGAAATAGAGTTAATGAAGGTTATTAAAGTAAACATAGGAGTATGCTATTTTTAGCTCTTATATATTGATCTAACCTGATCAGACTTGGACCGTCACGACTGGCTCCGAGTTGAAGTTTTGAACGAGATGAGGGATATCTGCAAGGCACTCCGATGCTGAAGTAAGTGAGAGTACGAGCAGGCAAAAGTGTGAGTATGGGTAAAAGAATGAATACCTGACCCTCTGGGAACAGAGGGTATTTATAGCCCCCAGCGCTGGGCCAAGGTCCCTTCATTGGGTCGGGCAGGTTTGGCCCAATGGAGGAACTGTCAGGTTCTACGTGTGTAGTGGGGACCCGCACGTGGTCTCCTTCCTGGATGTTCTGCGTGAAGTACGGACGGACGAGGACGCGGTCTTTTCGGGATCCACGTGATGGTGTAGTGGACCGAGTCTGCCCTAGGAGGAGTGCTCGAGCTGGGGTCGAGCAGGATAGCATGAAGGCGAGGATGTCGCACTGGCAGAGGGTGTCGAGCTCGGATGTGGCTTCTTGGTCGGCGTGACCCCTTGCAAAACCGTTTGGATTGGGCCTTCACCATTGCTTTTGGGCCAGCTCGGCCCAGTCCAGAACAGGAGCCCCCCAAGTCGTGGTTCCTAGAGTAGGAGCCATGACTTGATCTTAGGTCGCCTCCGTCGCGGGGTCCCGTATCCGGGCTAGGGATGTAGTTCCCCGTGGTAACTCGAGGAGTCCCCCCCTGTACCGAGTCCGCGAGATAATTCCTTCGAGGAATGCTCGAGGGATTCTCGACGGGTTGCGTTTGTTGAGCACACGAGGCATCTCTTGGGAGTTGTGCCGCCACCCTATTGAAGGTAGGGTCATCATTTCCTAGGGGAGCTGTGCGTCGAGGAGGGAAGCCCGTGGTTCCCCGGGGTGACGTTTGGTATTCCACATCATCACTATAAATAGGGTCCTTGGGCCCCAGAACGTGTTTTCCCTCTTCGCGCTTCTCCTCTTTCCTCTGTTTCTGCTGTTGCTGTTCTTCCCAGATATTCATAGGACCGCCGTGATCTCCGTCGCTGATTCCCTTTCTCCGCCGTCGCACTTCCTTCCTGATTCCAAGTAAGCGTCTTGTCTCCTTTGCTTTTCCTCTGTGATGCATGATTTTTCATTGTTGTTAGACGCTTAGAGACTGTACGCCTGGGATTAGCCCCGTTAGATTTATATTTAGCTCGACAAATCCATGTTTATGCCCGGCGAACGCATGTGTACGCCCGGTAAACGCATAATTTAGGTATTTGACTCGCAGTGCTGCCCGGGATCTTCATGATTCAGGGCGCCTAATTCTTGGTAGTTCCCGGTAAACTCATGGCTCTAGTTTTGAGACTCATGATATCGCTCGCCACGTTCATAGCCTAGGTCGACATATTCGTGAGTGGTCGAGATGTTGGCCCATTTAGGCGATCTGTAGGGAGACTTATCGTGTTATCTGGGAGTCGGGGAGGTGACTTCTCTTTTTGTTTCGAGACACCAACTTTTTTTTAGTCGCGCGTGGAGTGGTATGGCTTGTCGCGCTCTTCATCCCGTCCGTTATGGCGAGCGCGTGGATTTTCTCCCCAATTGACCAGTTTCCTGTGCTTTGTAGGTAACCATGGCCGACGAACCGTGTTCCTCGGGGCGCACTGAGGTGGAAGACCAAAGTGCCGAGGAGAATGTAAATTTGGTCGATACCATCGACGACCCTTTGCTGGAATGGGTGGGCGCCGAGCCCAGAGGGATTGCTTCGGCATATAGCCGACGTAGTCGAAGCGCGTTCACCATCATCGAACAGGGCAGTAGTCAGCCCGGTTTTCAGAAGAATTTTGTCGTCAGTAGGCCGACTCTTACTGCCTGAATTTGCTCGGAGTTCCCCGAGTATGGGTTCCCGATGTACGAGATTGTTTTCAAGGACCTGGGTTTAAAGCTCCCCTTCAGCGACTTTCAGGTCGGGGTTTTCAGCCATCTGGAGCTGGCCCCGTCGCAGCTTCACCCAAACTCGCTGGCTTTCATCCGAGCGTTCGATCTAACGTGTCAGTTTCTAAGGATTGGGGCGACCATACCCCTTTTCTTCAGAGTCTTCCACTTACAGCGCCAGTCCCGGGGAGGTAGGCATATTTGGGTTTCCCTGAAGCAGTCGAAGAGACTGTTCAGGATGTACATGGATTCCGTGCGGGGCTTCAAGGACAAGTGGTACATTGTGAGGCCGGTTACCACAGCAGGTTTAGAGTCCGTATATGAGGAAGAGACGGTCGTGACCAACGATCACGGGGAGGCCCTTCTAGACGGCGAGGGACACCCGGTGTTAGGGCGCGTGGCCAAATTTCCCTTGCATTGGACCTCGAGGCACTACGAGCATGGCACCGGGTACTACCACACGTCCGCGGGCGAGATGAGCCCCGAAGACGAGAAGGCTTATGGTACTCTCTGTCGGTATGTCGACAGTTTCTTCCCCGCCAGGTGGGCCACGAGGGAGGGGAAGGATATTCTTGACGAAGAAGGTTATCCGACCTTCGAGGCCCGACCGATCGATACGAAGGCACTTGTGGAGTGCCAGTCCTTTGGGCAGGCCGCGAACCTGCTAGGTCGTTATTGTTTTGTATTGTTTGAATTTCTTCACTTGTTACTTGTTCGCCACTAACCCGGGGTTATTTTATGCAGGTCTCATGGCTGGTCGAAAGGAGAGGCTCCTGAAGCTGACACAGGATAAGAAGGTTAACAAGAGGTTGGTGCGAGCTCCTCAAGCGACGAGGATGGGCCCGTTATCTAGCCCGGGCGCTTCTCAGGCGACGAGGGTGGGCTCGCCAACTAGCTCGGGAGCTGCTTCGGGAGGGACCCCGGACGCCCAGGATGTCGAGCCACACACCGATCTGATACCGAGGAAGAGGAATCGGGTGGAAAGCCAACCGGAGGTCGGCGAGGACTCCAGCGCGGTGAGGTCCTTCGGGTTTCCCCCTTGCTTTAAAGAGGAGGGTTTTTTCGAGGGATATCCCTTGTCCGTGAGTGCTGATGAAGCTGAAACCATTAGGCGGATGAGCAAGGAGAGTCGGAGAAGGCATCTGGCCGCCAATATGGCCGGGCTGGTCAAGATGGTCGAGATGGCTGTCGTGCTGGCCGAGGAGGGGGCAGACTCTGACCGTATCAAGGAGCTGGAACAGGAGAAAGCTGCCCTTACTTCGAGTTCTCGAAAGTTGAAGGCTGCTCTGGAGCGCTCCGAGGAGATGTTCCGCGAGCAAGCCGAGCTGCTGGCGGCGGAGGCAGAGTTGCTGGCTTTGGAGAAAGAGAACTCGGGGAAGCTGGCCGAGGAGAGGGACCATTTCCGTGAGGATCGGGAACGTCTGGAAATTGACAACGGGCGCCTCGCCAGAGAGGTTGAGGAATTAAAGGCCTCCATGCTCCCTGCCGAGGATGATTCGGAGGAGACGGCTCCTTTACGGAGTCGGTCGGAACTGGTCGCTCGTATTCAACTCCTCGAGGTGGACTGTGTCGGTGCTATGGCGGATGGCTTTGAAGCCGCGGTCAGCCAGCTCTCTCTGTTGAATCCCGGTTTAAACACTGAAGGAGTGGGCTACATGTCCCAGATCATTGATGGTCAGGTCGTGCCTCCGCCCGAGTCTCCTGTTGTCGGTGGTGATAGCTCCAGGGAAGCTGAGTTGTGAGATTCTGATGGGGCCTGCGCGCCTTTATTGATGTTTGTTTTGGGCCTGCGTGCCCGTTTATATTTTATTTTTTGGGCCTGCGTGCCCGTTCTTTGTATTTCCTGAACATCGCCGGTCTTCTTGGTCGGTTTATATCTATTTGCTTTGTTGCCTACGGGCCTTTCAACTGAATGTTTGTTTCGATTCTTAATTGTTTTCCCGTGTTCGTGTTTAACTTTTTTGTGCTGAAACTGGCCTAAGTTATGGGCCCGAATCTTGCCCGTACGTGGTTGTGACTTTGTTGGCAAATTTGCCTAAGTCTTTTGTTCGTGCATGTGCTCGGCTTCTATTCGGTGGCCGAATTCGCCTGAGTGATGACCTCGAGGAGAGATTTCTTTTTCGACCCTTTTGGATGGCCCGACGTTCTTCGAGATTCGTTGGGCGTACGGAGCGAAGCCGCTTGTTTCGGTACATGACCCAGATCGGGGTTCTTCACCCGCAGCGTGAACTGCCCATCGCGAGCTGGGTGTTCTTCCCTGCAGGTACTTCGACGGTGGAGTTCGATTGAGGTGTCCACGTCGGGCATGATCGTTCACTTTCGTCTATTGAACGGTGTTATGTTGTCTGGGTGTAGGTCGGGCCTGTACCTTGGCCTTTCTACGGATTCATACGTTTTTCCTCGTTGACCGGGCGCGGGTGTCGACAGTCGAGGGTCCTCGATGTTGGTGGTTTTTAACTATAGTACTGCTTTAGTTTAGCAGCGTTCCAGGGTCGTGGTAGTGGTTCTCCGTCTAGTTGCTCGAGGTAGTATGCCCCGGTACCAGTGGTGTCGTGGACGCGATAAGGCCCTTCCCAGTTCGCGGCTAACTTCCCTTCGCGGGAGTCTTTCTGGTTCCTTCGTAATACCAGGCTGCCGATTTCGAACTCGTGCTTAATGACCTTG